GGTCTTTTAATGTAGAAGCTGCAAGGTCCTGTGTAATCCTACTGTGGTTCCATGATATTTAAATTGTTTCTTTCTGGCTGCTTGCAGCACCTTCTCTTTCATCTGGTAATTTTGGAATTTTGCTATTTATGTTTCAATTTGGGATCTCTTTCAGGTGGTGAGCGGTGATTCTTTCTATGGTTATTTTCCCTTCTGGTTCTAGGACTTCAGGGCAGTTTTCCTTTATGATTTCCTGAAAGATACTGTCCAGGCTCTTTTTTTCATCATGATTTTCAGGTAGTCCAATAATTTTTAAATTGTCTCTCCTGAATGATTTTCCAGGTCGTTGTTTTACTGATGAGGTATTTTACATTTTCATCTTTTTCATTTTTTTGTTTCTGTTTGACTGATTCTTGCTCTCTCATAGAGACATTAGTTTCCATTTGTCCAATTCTAGTTTTTAACAGATTGTTTTCTTCTGTTAGTTTTTGTACTTCTTTCTTCAATTGGCCAATTGTATTTTTTTAGGGACTTGTTTTCTTTTTTTCCAATTGGCCAATTGTATTTTTAAGGACTCTTCTACCTCTCTCATTTGACTTTAAAATCCTTCTTGAGCTCTTCTAAGAAGGCTTTTTGGGCTTCAGACCAGTTCATATTCCCTTTTGTTGCAGATGTGGGTTTGTTGACAATGTTGTCCTCTTCAGAATTTCTGTCTTGATCTTCACTCTTCTCATAATATGAATCTATGGTATGTTTCTTTTTACTCATGGTGTTTCTTTATTCCCTGGCCTTTAAAGAGATTGAGCTCTCCTGTGGGGAACAGAGCACTGACCCAAGCTTCTTGTGTTGGGAGCCTTGGTCTTGGTCACTGGCTTTGTGTGCTGGGGCCTCTTATGTTGGCAATTGGAGGCTGTAGGTTCTGGCAGCTTACCTTGTGTTGGGCTGGAATCAGCAAGGCTGGAACTTTCAGGCAATTCTAGGTTGCCTGCTTTTCCTTTCCTTTAGCTTTCTTCAGCTCCTTTTAGATGGGTGCTGCAGGGTGTTTATCTGCCTGGGGCCCCTGCAGTGCTCTCCCTCATTTCTGCTAATGCACTGGGAGATTCCTTTGTAGAGTCTGAGGCACCTGGTGGTTTTCTGAGCTGGTTTCCACCTGTTCCCCGCCCTTACTGAGGCACTCTGAGCTCCAGGTGTTGGTGTGTGCCTGCTCTACCACCTGGGCTTCAGGATTTCTTCCTGGTTGACAGTTGGAGGCTGCAGGGCTCCAACAGCTCACCTGCTGTTGCGCTGGAACCAGCAAGGCTGGGGCTTTAGGAAGACTTTAGGTTGTTTTCTTCAGCTCCTTTCAGATAAATGCCACAGGGTACTTATCCGCCTGGGGCCCCTTGTAGTTCTTCCTCCATTATTTTTGCTGAGGCACTGGGAGATCCATTTGTTGGGCTGCTGCACTGCTGCTCCCCGTCTTTCTTCTAATTCAGCTGTTCCAGGGTTTTTTTCTGGGGTGATATTTTCTGGCTTTTCAGAGGTTGACAGGGGAGAGTGAGAGAGACTACCTGTTTACTCTGCCATCTTGGCTCCCGGAAGTGGAAGTCTCCATGTTTTTCTAAGATATTGAGCTCATCATTTCTTACAGCATATAGTATTCCATGACAATCATATACCACAACTTGTTCAGTCATTCCCTAATTGATGGGCAATTTCCAGTTCTTTGCCACCACAGAGAGAGCTGCTATAAACATTTTAGAACATATAGGTCATTTTCTTTTTCCCTAATCATCTTTAGAAATAGACCTAGTAGTGATATTGCTGGGTCAAAGGATATCTCTTTAGGATATAATAATAACATAATAATAATAAAAAAATAATCCTTTAAAAAACTTTTTGTATTTTCCACTTTAATATTTGTTCTTTATTAATAATTGTCAGAATCTTAATGATCCCTTTTCCCTTCCTTATCTCCTAACAAAGATATGAATGAAGGCTTGTTACAATCTGCTCAGAAGTTCAATGAAATGGGTTCCAGTCCTTGGGGGATGGGAGGTGCTTTGCCTATACACTGTGTTAAGACCAGTAAATATAAAAGTGTACATGTTAAAGGGGAAAAATCAGTGAGACACAATTAGCATTGAGCAAAGACTTTTGCTAAGATGGCATGGTAAGAGCAATAGCCACAAAACATCACCCTCATAAACTGTTATTATACCAGTATCCATGGCAATGGAAGGCACAGACTCAAAATATAATGGTAGGGAACATGTAGTTCAAGACAGTTCACAATTCTGAAACTGCAAGACATCAAATTCCTTTCTTTCATTTAGAACCTATTCAATCAACTCTACTGTTGGTTGCCAAGATTAGCTCTCTTTTGAGGCCAAAGGCAGGTCTCTTTCTGCTGCCAGTAGTCATTCTTGTTGAAGCTGCTTCTAAGCTCAGGCAATTGTCTATTTGGAGAGTTTGTCTCTGCTCTCTTAACTGTTTCCAACTACTTCATAATAATTCTCTGTGTGTTGGATAGGGAGTCTCCTCCTGGGTTAGATGCCATGACTGATGCTCTCTCAGGGACCAGGTTCTTGTTCTATTGCTGGATTCAGATCAACTGTTCAAAAACCATCTATGTAATTTTTGAGGGATTGTGGTCTAGGTTGGTGAAGGAGGCCGCAGTGCTGACAAAATCATGGCTCCATGAAGCATAGTTATGTTTGTGTCTCTATGTGAATGTTTCTGTTAGTATCTGTGTATTTGTATGTCTGTGTCTTCTACCATCTTTGAATAGAAGGATGCCCTTCTCCCAGGATAGGCTTCTGTTTGGAGTTTGAAGGAAGGGAGGATCTGGGCTGTGGTGTGGGCTCCATTGGCCTGCAAGAGTCAGTGTGGAGACACATCTTTATGGCAGTAAACCCTAAACAGTCCAGTCTAGTAAAGTTACTTATAGAGTTCCCAGGAGAGACCAAAAAGCCTCCTTCCTTCTCTTCCATTCCTACCTTATCTTTCAGGAGCATCATCTTTCTCATTCTTCTAACACTCCTGCTGCATTTCTCTCACTGGACCTAATGACTTATGTTCAAGCCAATGCAACACTTTAGGTACTTAGCATATGCAGTGTAACATAGTAGGTAGATGTACCAGCGACAAAACTGTCTATTATAATAGCCAAGAATCAAGCCAAGCTCAATACAGGAGTTTATAAACTGAAAGAAACCAGGGATGGGATGATCAATAATGTCAAAAGGTTTAGAGAGACCAAAGAAAATGAGAACTGACAAAGGGTCACAATTAATTATTGTGTGCAGGGAGCACTTTTTAGAGAGTTGTTGAGTCAGAAGCCTGATTATAGAGGCTTGAGAAGTGAGTGAGTGGTAAGGAAATGAAAGCAGTGACAGTAGAGAGTTCTTTCCTGAGGCTTAACAATCAAAAGGACAGCTGGAAACAGATATATACCATAACAACTTGAAGTTATCGTAGGGTCCAGTGAAGGTATTTTGGTTTGTTTGCTTTTTCAAATGGTGGAAGGGAACATGGACAGGCCAGCAGGGAGCAAGAAAGGAGACAGAAGATCTGGAGAAAATGAAATAAAGAGAGGGAGAGGATAAAGAGAGGGAGGTAATAGTCCCTCTGTATTTTACTACTGTCACTCAACATATAGAATATTTTGTTTACTTCTGTGGGAAACAGTTTTTGGACGGGCATTCAGTGTTCCCTCACAAAGGAATGCTACCAGGAAGATGAAAGGGCTAGAAAACCAATTAAAAGAGGAAAATCTGAAGGACCTGGGGATATTTAGCTTCCAGGAACCTTAACAGGGACATAAGAACCATAGTCAAATATTTGAACAATTAATTTGTGAGAAACATGTTAGACTTGCTTTTCTTGACCCTAAAGGGTAGACTGGGGCAGCTAGATGGTATGATGGATAACTGTGGGGTTGGAATCAGGAAGACCTGAGTTGGGCTTTGGGCAATTACTGGCTAGCTCTGTGACCCTGGCCAAATCATTCATCCTGTTTGCCTCAGTTTCTTCATAGGTAAAATGCATCTGTGTAAAATAAGCTGGAGAAAAATGGCAAAGCACACCAGTATCTTTACCAAGAAAACCCCAAATAGAGTCATAATGAGTAAAACACAACTGAAATGACTGAACAACATCAAAAAATGTGGAGACCTTGACTCACTAGGTGGAAATTGAAAGAACACATATTTCATCTCAATATAATGAAAAACTTCTGAAAATTTGGACTGTTGGAATGAGCTTTCTCAGCAAGCAGTGAGTAATATTTTTGAAGATCTTCAAGTTGAAGATTTGCACAGTGGATTGATACCAATAAAAACAAGTTGAATTTAAAGAGCCCTTTGAGCTTTGCAGGGTGTTATATGAATACTATCTCATTTCAACCTCACAACAACCCTGTCAGGTAGGTGCTCTTTTTATTCCCATTCTGCAGATCTCAGGGCTTCCTGAATCCAAGTCAAGCAACATCCACCATCCACCAAGCTGCCAAGGTGACACTTGAATACAGATTACTCTATACGATTGCTGAGGTTCCTTTGAACTCAAGATTCTATGATTCTAGACCAGGCATTCTTAATATGGGAATTTCAGGAGATCTGTGATCTTGGATGGGAAAAAACATCTTGGTTTTCACTAACCTCCAACTATCATTTAGCATTTCCTTCAATAAGAAGTTTTCTTTAATTATTCTGAAAAAGAGCTCCATAGGCTTTATCATACTGCCAAAGTAGTCCATCACATGAAAAAAGTTAAGACACAAGTGGGCGGCAGGCACTGAGCCCAGTCAGAAAAAGAATTCATTCTAGAGGACATTGTACTATCTCTCTCTCTTCTAAGAGTATACAACATGTTTAGTTAGATAACAGTTACACAACACTCAGTTCTATAGCAGTTGTACAAGCAGAGGAAAGGTAGGAACTGGTCTAGGGTTCACCTCTTGCAGACACCTGCCTATCATGTGGTCTCCCCTCCCTTTTCCCCTCCTCCTCAAAGGGAGGAGCCAAGCCCCAATATAACTGCTGTCTGAGCTGTTTTCTCTGAAGAGTCATATAAGAAATAGTTGCATTGCTGGAGGAAAGACCATGACAACTGGGAACCAAAGCCAAAGACTCAGTATGATAACTCTGACAGTGTTAGGACTCGTCTGCTTAGCTCTACTCCCCACCACAGGTAAGTCAGTCCATCTGTTCTTCCAATAGGTAAGATCACTCACTCTCAACGTCAAGTAGATCCAACCACTACATAGTAGTTTAGGAGAAAAGGTGCTGTATTTGGATTCAGAAAATCTGAGTGTTGGCTCCACCAATAACTAGCTGTGAAGACTTGAACATCATTTTACCTCTCTGACTCTCAATTTCCTCATTTCTGAAAGGATCCTAGATGAGCAGAATAGTGGAATAGACAGGGAGCCAGCCTCGATGTCAGAAAGACCTAGATTCAAGTCCCATAACATATATGTGAGTTTTTGACCATGGGTTACCATTGAATAGCCCTCAGGCAATTTTCTCAAACTCTAAATTGACTTGGTAATCTAAACTGATGGAAGAATACTAGGAGTTCCATGTCCTGAATAAACCCCAGGTCCTGGACCCTGAAATCCCTGTTCTGCTGACGTCATAAGGCTGTTGTGAAAATCAAATGATATTGGATAGCAAGGACTTTGTAAAATTGGCAAGCGATAGCTATAAGTATTTTTGCTACTTTCTTCTTTGGGTTGCAGAATTAATTTCCAAGAATGGCCACTTTGAGGTAGGAAGTGCAGAGGGAGGAACATAACACATAGTATTCAGGTCCAGATATGTGGCCAGTCCAGACCCAGGGGACAAAACAGTCAGAGGGCACGTTGGGTGGCATCCAGCCCCACGCTTCCTGGCAGTCTGGAGAGATAGCCAGACCCAAAGAAACCACTATAATAAAGAGGACAGTTACATTCTCCTTTGTCAGATGTTTCACAATCTCTGATGCCCTAACCACTCCCTTCCCCTGTCTGTGACCTCCCTCACCCCCCTGTCTGTGACCTCTGCTCACTGTCCTGTGTTTCTCTTATGGCTGAGAATGAAGTCCTTATCATCTCTGTTCCAGATTCAAAGTCTCTCTGCCCAGCACAATTGCATGTTTTGGAATTGTTTTTAACTGGGAATAAAGAGAACTTCATTAATGCAGTAAGGAATTTTGCCTCAGATAATGAAACAATAGACACTGCGAGGAAATTCAAAAGCTGTGTGGACTCGACTCTGAAGCCTCAAGATCAAAATGTGACTTTTGGTTTTGTGGTAAGGTACTTCTCCCCACAAGTTCCTCCCCACACCTTTCCTGACCTGTGCCTACTCCCTACCTGAATCTCCCTTGCCCTTCCACACTCTGCTTGTTCTTCTTCCTCCTCAACACCTCCCCTAGCTGTTCCTCAGCACTGACATCTCGCCTCTCTGGGCACCTCCACAAGAATGGTTCAGAGTTCCTGCCCTCTCCTCCCCTCCATATTCTACCCCACAGCCTCCTCATTGGGTACTTACTCCCTTAAGTCGATACACAGAGTAGTCTAGGGCCATTCCCTTTCCACCTCCAAAAACAGAGAATTTAGGATCAAACAGCAACTCTTTTTTTTTTTTAAAACCAACAGGTTCCCCTCTGTCAGTCAATGAGTGACAATTAAGCACCGACTATGTGCCAGGCATTTTGCTAAGTGCTGGAATAGAAAGGCAGAAGGCAGTTCCTGCCCTTCAGGAACTCACAATCTAATGGGAGAGATAACAAATAAACAAATATATAAACCAAGATATATACAAGACAAAAAGGAAATACTTAACAGAAAGAAGGTGTTGGAATTAAGGATTGACAAGGTTTCCTGGTGGAGGTGAGATTTTAGCTGGAACTTGAAGGAAGTCAGGGAAGCCAGTAGATGGAGAAGAGGGGGGAGAGCATTCCAGGCATGGGGATTGCCAGAGAGAATGCCCAGAGTCAAGAGATGGAGTGTTTTGTTTGGGAATTCAAGGAGGCCAGTGTTATGGGATTGAAGAGCATGTGGCAGGTGGTAAGAAACCTTGAAAGGTAGGAGGAAGCAGGGTTTTGAAGGGCTTTGAACTCCAAACAAAGACTTTTGCTTGGCCCTGGAGGTGATAGGGGGCTACTAGAGTTGATTGAGTATGAGAACGACCTGCTCAGATCTGTAGTTTAGGAACATCACTTTGATAGCTGAATGGAAGATGTACTGGAATGAGGAGAGACTTGTGGCACTCAGACTAGCCAGGAGAGAGTGAGGAGTTGAGCAGAACACCTACTTTGTGAGTCTGGCGGACTGGGAGGATGGTGGTACCCTAGTCAATATTAGGGAAGTTTGTTGGGGGGATAATTTGGGGGAAAGATAATGAATTAAGTTTTGGATGCGCTGAGTTTATGATATGTACTGGATATGCAGTTTGAGATGTCAGAAAGGCAGCTGGAGATACAAGACTGAAGGTCAGCAGAGAGTTAGGAGCTGGATGAGTAGATTTGAGAATTATCAGCAGAGAGATGCTAATTGAATTCATGAGAGCTGATGAGATCACTAAGTGAAATGATACAGAGTAGAAAAGAAGAGAAGAGGGCCTAGAAGAGAAACCTTTGGGACACCCATAATTTGGAGACATGATCTGTATGAAGATTCAGCAAAGGAGACAGAGAAGGAAGGAGTGGCTAGAGAGGAGTATGAGAGTTAGGAGAGAGGTAGAAAGATTCTTGTCTGAAAACCTAGAAAGAAGGGAATATGAAGGAGAAGAGGGTGGTTAAGAAGAATGAAGATTGAGAAAAGACTCTCAGGAAAGGGACCCAGATCCTGGCTGAGCTATGATCAAGAGTCTACTGGAGGCACAGGGTCAGACATCCTGGGCAAGCCTCAGCTTCAGTATTGTTTATGTAGATGTTGCACTGAATAGAGAGCACTGTGCCTGCAGTCAGGAAGACCTGAGTTCAAATCCAGCCTCCTCCTAACTATGGGACCATAGGCAAGTCATTGAACTTCTGTTTGCCTTAGTTTCTTTATTCATAAAATGAGGATAACTGCACCTACCTCTCAAAGTTGTTTTGAGGATAAAATGAAATATTTGTGAAGTGTTTTTTAAACATTCCCAAACCTGCATTATATAAATGCTAAATGTAGATGTAATGATACATATTCCTCTTCCTGCAGGAGTACCTCTCTGAAGATGTATGCTGAAAAACTTTATAAGCCAAGCTGATGGACCACCATGCAAGACCTCTGTGCTCCTTAAACCATGCTTGTTGACCATCATCCAGACTTGCTGACTTTCTTTCACTGATCCCAGCTTGGGCTCCTGACCAGGCCATCATGATTCTACTACTTTGTGCTGTAGGGAACCCTTTGCCTCTACCCTAATCAGGTCATTCCCAGGGACCAGAATCTTATGATATATTAAATTCCATGCAATTCAGGACTCAGTGTCTGTGTTTTCTTCCAAAGGGTTGGGGGAACAGTAACTGAAAATCATTCCTGAGGGGTGAGGAGCCCCTAGCCTCCTCAGAGAGGCTCTATCATTGCCCTTGGGACTTTTTCACACACAGACCTCCAAGGAGTTTGACCCCCTAATATATATGGCCTTCTTCATTGGAGTCCAGAGGCAAAAGTCCAAGAGTGAAAGTCTGTGATCCAGTCAAGTACTGGCTGAAATTCAAAGAGACAAAGTCCCCATCCAGAGGGCCCATGTCCAGAAACTGATCTACAGGTGGAAAGCTTGCTCCCCTCTCCATACCCATGGTTCTCTTCCACAAGGTAGAACCACTATGTGTCCCAAATTAATATATTTGGTTCTAGGAGTATTTATTAAGAATCTACCATGTGCAGGACTGTAAACCAGTCCCTGAAGTCACAAAGTAAACAAAAAACCCCCAGACAAACCACCCCACAAAACCAAAAAGCAACCCTTATATTATCCTTAAAAGGCTTATTATCTAACAATGGGTTACCTGGCCTTATTCACTGACTAGGGTGTTGCCTCAGTCGAACTGAGACTTGGGAAAGACTTTAGCTTTAGAACACCAAGTTTTCCCACTGCATCTCAGGCCAAGTGTGAGATGCTGATCTCCTGATCTATATCTTGCCACTGGACCAGATGGCTCTGGAGAAGTGAGGTTGGTGACTTTGCACAGTCCTCCTTTTCTTCAATCCAATTCACTTGCAAGTCATGGCATAACCTTCCTGATGCCATGGTTCTCTTTGGGAATGAAGGACAAACAGCAAGCGTTGAGTAGTCATAGCAGCTACCCCTCTGGGGACCCAACTGGCCAGTCCCAGTTGGTCAGTGTAGTTACTTCCTTCTTTGTCCTGTCTGTATATATCCATTGAACATTCATCACTAGGGGAATGGCTCTTATTTGTATAAATTTGCCTCAGTTCCCTATATATTTGAGGAATTTTTGCCAGTTTCCTATTTTCTTTCTAATTTTGTCTACATGGGTTTTGTTTGTGCAAAAACTTTTAATTTCTGTAATCAAAATTATCTTTTTTATTTCCATGATTGTTTCTACCTCTTGTTTGGTCATAAAGTCTTCCTTTATCCATAGATCTTATTGGTAAGAAATTTTCCATGCTTCTTTAATTTGCTTATGATATCATCTTCTATGTCTAAATCATATGCCATTTTGACCTTATCTCGGTATATACAGTGTGAGATGCTGATCTATGCCTAATTTCTGTCAAATTGCTTTCCAGCTTTCCCAGAAAATAGTGGATTCCTGTGTCCAAAGCTCAGTTCTTTGGGTTTATCAAACAGTAGATTACTATAGTCATTTACTACTGTATATTGTATACTTAATCTATTCCACTGATCCACCACTCAACGTATAACTTTCAAAGCTGTCTTGCTTGTCTCTGTGTTTTTTTTTTCCTGATTTTGTTTCTGTCTTGTCTGTACATTGAAAAATGCCTCAATGATCCTGTTTTCTTTATCTTTTTTCCTGCAACCCCATTGCTGCCCTTTCTTTCCTATACCATAATTTTTTAGAGACATCCCAATTGGTGGATGTCTCCTTAGTTTCTAGTTCTTTACTACAACAAAAATTGCTGATATAAAGATGTTATTGGAGCCTTTTCCTCCAAAAATTTTTATTTTTTTTATTATCATCTCTTCCAGTCTGATGGGTATTTTAACTTGAGTTTGATAGTTTTAAAATTTTTCATTTCTCTTATTTGAGAATTTTTATTATTTTTTCACATGGTTGTTGATAGTTTAGATTTCTTCCTTTGAGAACTGCTAGTTCATATTTGTGACTTTATCCTTTGGGGAATGGGTCTTGTAATTAAACATTTGAATTAATTCCATTTATACCTTAGCTATCAGACCTTTATCAGATAAACTTGATACAAAGATGTTTTTCTTATCATTTCTGTAAAGTAAGTATAATAATAGCGCCTAACTCCCCATATTGATGTGAGAACAAAATCAACCTGGGAGGGGAAGACCCCTAGAATTTCTAGAATGCAGAGATCACCTACTTCCACCTCTATGCAATCTGAGAGGCATCTTTTCCCTTGGTACTGGCTTTAGGACACACATATAGAATAGGGCTAAGGGATATTCCAAGTGGAGAAACTTTAGTGGCCATGAGAATGTCTGGCAGGTGGGCATGTAAAAACAGAATTTAGATGAGATCTCTTTGGGTTGAACAGATCAGAACCAAAAGGAACAAGAAGAGTCTGTAAACTCAGGGAAGAAACAATGGGAAGGTACCGATTTGTTTTATAGCTCTGGATGCCAGGATGAGGCGATTTTCACAGCGGGTGATAAGTGATGTAAAGACCAATTCTAAGTTATCCAACTTCACCTAGCATGGCATGGTCACAAAACTTTCTACTCTGAGAGAGGCAAAGGTTGGGAAGAAAAAGATCCGTGGATCACATCCAAAGAGAAAACCTAAGTGTTTGGGGGGGAGCAAGCAAAGACAACTCAGTAAGTGAGACTCACTGTTCGCCTCCATGCCAGCCTTGATCCTCTGACCACATCAAGAAATCTAAACTAGGACATAAAGCACACTACTTTCCTTTACTCTGTTTATAGGTGTACTCTGCTCGCTTGGACCAGACCTTCACAAGTCCTGACCTTTGGATTTCTGACAGTCATCCCTGACTCTGTGCTTTCTCTCCATCTAACTACTGTCCTGGCTTCTAGATATTATGCTTATTTAGAGCCATAGTAGGTCCTTTATTGCCTTATCATCAGTCTATGTGGGGAAAAAGAGGAACATGGCTGCAGCTTTGTGCCAGAAATGAAGTCTACCAGTTTCTGCCACCTCTGGCCTCATTTCATTTATTCATTCATTTTGTTATTCATGTTTGTCATTCATTGCATTTGTTAATTGCTTCCTATGGTCCTAGGAACTGAGCAAGAGTAAACCAGTTCTAGGGTTAGAAAGGGATACACTATATCAACAGGGTCAGTGATGAAGAAATTGTATTGCACTTTGGTTCTCCTTACTAGGGAATGTTTGGAGAAGTAAATGATGATGTTATATTTGAATGAATTTTTTGGTGTGCTATGGTGGTTGCTTGATTGTTGAAATCTGGGGCTCTTTCATTTTTCCTTTTTATTATTGCATGTGATGCTTGGGAGTTGATTCCCAGAGAAAAGTTTCAGGAATCAATACAAGAAATCTGTATTCCCTGAGTGTCTTTGTGGGTGTGAAGTTAGGTGTGTCTTTTGCTTCTCTCAAGCCCCAGCACATAGTACCTCAAAAGTTTCTCAGATATAGGTCTCATATCTCAAATATATAAAGAACTTTATCAAATTTATGAGAAATAAGTCATTCCCCAACTGATAAATGGTCAAAGGATATGAACATGCAGTTTTCCAATTAAAAAATCAAAATGATTTCAAAGGAAAAAAATGCTCTACATCATTATCGATTAGGGAAATGCAGATTAAAACAATCTTGAGATATTGTTTTTCAACTATCAGATTGGTTAAAATAATTGAAGGGGAAAGCAACAAATATTGGAGGAGGTGTGGAAAAATTAGGACACTAATTTGCTGTTGGTAAAACTGTGAACTGATCCAACCATTTTGAGAGCAATCTGGAATTACACCCAAAGAGTTATTAAATTGCCTATACCCTTTGACCCAGCAATACCACTATTTGTACTATTTCCCAAGATGATTATGGAAAAAGGAAAAGAACCTGTATGTTCTAAAATATTTATAGTAGCTCTCTTTGTGGTGGCAAAGAGCTGGAAATTTTGAGGATGCCCATCAATTGGAGAATGGTTGAGCAAGTTAGGGTATATGATTGTGATGGAATACTATTGTGTTGTAAAAAGTGGTGAACGCAATGATCTTAGAAAAAGATGGATACACTTGTATGAAACAATGAAGAGTTAAATGATCAGAACAAAGAAAACATTGTACAGAGTTAACAACAATATGGTTTTAAGAACAACTTTGAGTGATGAAGTCATTTTGACTACTATAAATACCCAAATTAACTGCAAAGGACCTATGAAGGAAGACACTATCTGTATCCAGAGAAAGAATTTATAAATAGAAGTGTGTATAGAATGATTTTACACACATATACAAATTTCTGTCTAATGGTATCCATCTCTAGGGCTGCAGGGGGGAGAGAAGAAAAAAACAGAAAAAAATAAAGTTACATGATAACCATGATATCTTTGAAAGGATAGCAAATTGTACATAACAGATTTACAGTTTCATGTACAATCCTCTTTTTTTCCATTCTACTATGTTAAGGAATTGCTTATTTTATTTCTGAAGTTCAGAATAAAATAAATAAAAATTTGGAAAAGTCAAATATATTTAGAATTAAACTGTATTAAGCAAAGGAAAAAAAGAGTCCATACAGCAACAACATTAGTCACAGACTGTTGTCTGAGCTCAATACACTGCCCCTAATGAAGCCATGGCTTACAGTAAAACTATACATACAATTCCATACACAGTTACATACAATCACACAGTGAGTGATACACACAGAGGCATGAGCTGAGTGCTTTTCCTTTATTGAATAAGCTACAGGAACAGTAGTCAGTGGCGGAGTGTCTTGAACTCCATGGTCCAGTCTGTAGCAGTCAGGGATGGTGATGGGATGATTACTTAGGAATGACTGGGGAGACAGGGTTTATAATCCGGAGTAGCGCAGCTTCCAGTATGCTACAGACTCCTCATGTTTTATGCATTCCAGAGTTGCAGTGATTTTGGCCCAAGAAAGAGAAGGGAGGACACGGTGTCCAGATTTCTTTGTCATGGTCAGTGCACCTTTCAGTCTCAGGTCCCTACCATAAGACCTACTCAAGTGAGCAGTACAATAACATTGCTTTGACCAAGAATTGGGGAAAGGAGGTGTCGCCTATGACTAAGTGTTGCATCAAACAGAGGAGTGAGCAATGAGGAAATGTGGGCTAGGGAGCTCAGGGAAAGACTGAG